GATGATTCACTGGGCACATTTTGGCCCTTGCTTTGCTCCCCCAGTGCCTGTTTTTGGGGCTGTGCTGTGGCTGCCTTCCCCAGAGCTCTGGCCACACACCAGGGGTGCACAAATCATCCTTGTCCAAATCAATGTCTGGCATCTGAGCTCACCAGACCATCCTCAAACCCTGGTGTGGCCTGAAGCTGTGACCCCACAGCCACCATAGGGAGGCAGGATGTTCTGGTGCTTTAAAAAGAGAGTTGCATTCAGGACAGATGTTCTCCAAATTGAGAATAGGWGCTCATCATCCCTGGAAATGGGGCATGAACTCGAGGCTAGAGAAGACAATGGCTGAGGTGAACCTCAGTCCTATTCAGGGTGGCAGAAGCAGCTTCTTTACGCTGCTGGCTGGAGCAGAATGGCCAAATGAGCTCTGCCAAAGASTTGTGAGCCCTTTGGAGCAGCCTAAATAATCCCTCCTCCATACAGACTGTAAGGCAGTGTGCAAGGAGAGCAGGAGCAATGTTCCCTTACCTGAGTATTGTCTTGCAGCAAACTTCAAGGGGTTTGGGGCTTTTTTTTTTTTGCTTTTTCCTCCCCCTCTCTAATAAATACAGAACTTGGCACAGGCACACAATCCATGTCATCCCTGCTCACACCAGGGAAGGAGCGAGTAGTGAAGGCTGTAGGCCAAAACTGTGTGAAGGAGAGAAAGCAAAGGGGAGGAGCAGAGTGAGCGGGAGGAAACCCASAGAATAGGGGGAAAAGGAGAGGAAAYAGGAGRGGAAGTGGTCCAGGGAGAGTAGCATGAGGTGGGGAAGGCAGGGCCAAAAGAATGGAAGGAAATCCTTGCAGAAATGGACTATTTGAAAGCTGTTCCTTCTGTGCTTTCCCCTGGCAGATGCTCTAGATCTGGAGATGCTTGGGGAGGAATCGGCTGCATTTTGGATTTGGATTGTTGTTTGGAAAAGGGAGAGGGAAAGAGGACTAAAAGGAAACCTCTCTGCCCCTGGCCCTGGAGCACCTGGCRTACCTGGAGTGCCAGAGGGTGAGATGTGGAGGTCAGTAGTTGTGTCCATCACACACAGAGCTCCTGCGGCTGATGAACGAGGCCTGGTGGCTCCTTCCCCCTCCCTGGCCACCTTGTTCTTTGGAGGAGAAGGAAGGGTGGGAGGGAAAACCCATGATCCTGCTGGCCTGCTGCCAGTTGCTAAGGCAGTTTCTTGAGGAGGGAGGGGAGCTGAGGAAGGAGGGAGCTGCCTGGAGAGGAGGCAGATGATGCACGCAGGGACCAGGCAGGGAGAGGAGCCCGCTGCCACCAGTGAAGGAGCTGAGTGRGAGCAGGGGAAAAGGAGCACACAGGAGAGGGGTGAGGTGGGAAGGGGCAGGGAGCCAGGAGAAGCAGCTCCCTGCAGAGCTCAGCCATGGAGCCAACATCCCAGCAGACCTGTCTCAGCTGATGGGCTCGCTGTGCTTCACAGCAGCTCCACGAAGCACTGCCTGTGGCTGGAGGGGATTTTATTCTCCAGTGATTTTTCCCCGCTGTGTTTCCCCTGGTGAGTACGAGGTGTGTATTTTCAGGGGAGCAGGGCTGGCTCCTCATGCTGGTGCTGGGAAGAACACGTGTCCCACATGGATGTGCAGTTGTAGGCAGGGTGTGTTGTCCCTCCTGGGTGACACAGGAGGGTGCCTTTTGCCRTCCTCTCCTTGCCTCAGTGCTGCGTTTGGGTGTCTTTCTGCCCACACAGCATAGACTCGAGCAAGGTCTGTGTGTGCTTCTGGCTCCCTGGCCCCAGCTCTCAGATCTTCAGTTATTTGGGCCCAGAGAGGAGCTCAGTGTGGCTCTCGATAGCCATGGAGTCACTGCCCTGACTCGGGGCGATGCCGAGCAGCTCCAGAGCTGAGCACAGACCTGGGCCATTGCTGCAGGGAATGAGCCACTGCCCAGAGCTGCGGTGGAAACCCATTCTGGGGCACAGCAGCACCGCCTGAGGGAGGGGAGGGAATGTCCTTCAGACCCCCGGGTACCCCAGAGCTCTGTCACCCCGAGAGAGAAGAGGCGACGGTCTCACTYCTCCGGTTGGTGATCAGTGGGAGACCTCGCCATTGAACCTTATCCAGCCTGTGCCGAGCTCAGGCTGCTCCCCGCTCTCTCCTGCTCCCCGCACAGCGAGCTCACAGCAAGGGCTGCTTGCGGCCAAATGCCCGGAGCTGCCCTCCGGCCCGGGCAGACGCTGCAGGCAGATGCGGCTCCCCACAGGGGTACCCTGTCCATAGCCCGGAGCCAYGGTTCGCCCTGGCTGAGGTGGGAAGGTGGAGGGTTGGAGGAGCGGGGGAGGATGCAGGGCTCTGTGCGGAGTCTTCAGCGTTCWGCGCTGCAGGCAGCTCTCACTGACAAGTCACAAGTGAGGAAATAAGCTCTTGAAAGGTAGGCGGCAACAAAACCCGAGCAGCTTCGGAGCGCAGCAGCGGCATCTCCGCCTGCCCTGCCTTGGATCGGCACCCACCCCGGCCGTGTCCGCACGGGGCTGATCCCGTCGGGGCCGCGGAGCCCGGGTGGAAGCCGAGCCCCCGGGGAAGGGTTCGCGCCGTAGCCCCGAGCTCAGAGCCTGCTGAGCAGACAGAAATTCAATCCCGGGGCCGGCTCTAATTCTCCCACTTCTCCTTTCTTTGCGTGTGTCGCGCCCCGCAGCCATTTGTCCCCGGGCGGCAGCTGGGGCCGAGCCCGCGGGCGCTGCGCCGTRACCCGAGTCCATGGGATGCTGCGGGGGCACGGCGGGACGGGGACAACTTGCCGCTTGTCCCTTGGGCTCTCGGCTCGCTGGAAATCCAAAATGGAGCGGCGGCGCTGCTGTGGGTGTGGGAGGCCGGGCGAGGCGTGACTCATGTGCCGGCCCGGAGCGCTCCGGGGCTGTGCGAGCCACAAAAGGCTCGAGGAGAGAGCTCCCTCCTGGCTGGCGCTGAAAGCAAATACCAGGCACCTGGAGGAGTGGGGAGGGGAAGAGGGCACTGATAAATGAAGCGGTGGATKAAGGTATCAGATGTTTCCTGCTGGGATTTAATGCCCTGGAGGGAAGGACAGCGCATTCCGTGTATTGGAAGTGGGCAGGTCCCGCTCCGGGGCAGGCTCACACCTCCGGGCTCAGCTCAGAGCTGCAGCTCCCGGCTCTGCACAGCCGAGCATCCCTCGCTCCAGGAACGGCACAGAAGGACACGGCCACCACGGGCACCTCGCTGTGCTGGGGACAAAAGCCTCGCACCAGGAACGGGGCTCGCAGGAGGTGACATTTCTCTTGTTCTGTCAGGTGTCCCTCCCCTGTCCCTTGCCACCTCCCGCGGGTGAAACACCCCCACCCTCCCGCAGCCCTCACGGGCTCTTGTCTTCTTCCCCTGACTGCCCTCTTTCGTGCGGGGAAAGAACAAAGCCAGAATTTATTTTAATTGTTTATTGTATAATATAAAACTACAAAAGTAAGACTGCTCATTTCCATGTACATTTGTCCAATTGTTTTTTTATTACAGCCCATACCTACATGTGAATACAGTAATCTGGTTTCAGATGTCTGTAATATTGCATAGAAAAGGCACAGCTCTAAGGTCTGTGGGAGGGGAAGGGGAAATACAGCCTTTTTTCTTTTTTTTTTTTCTTTTTTTTCTTTTTTTTTTTTTTTTTTTTTACAATAACAAGCCCTGTTCAAACAACCATGCACTGAACATGTCACACTATTTACACCTTTTCCAGAATCGTGGCCTTTGCAGACACGAGTACGGAATACACTCAGAAGTAGATAGGAGTTGAGGTTGGGATATTATCTGCAATATGTGTTTTTTAAAGAGGTTCCAGAACTTGCATTAGGCTTATTTTCAGAAAAAGAAAAAAGTGCTTAAAAAAGAACTAATTTATTTTAAAATGTTCAGTCTCAATTATTAATTAATAGAATACTGAAAGCAACTTGCACAGAAGCAGGATACTGAAACCTGATTGGGAACGGGGCAGGGGGAGAAAAAAGAACAAAACCAAACCAAAAGAAACCCTGTAACAAGAACAAAAAGTTCAAAACATGCCAGAATGAATTAAACCATTTGTCACAGGACCCATTGCGATTTACTCGATTTAATGGTAATAAAGTGTAAACTTTGGATTCAAAATCATCCATTTTCAATAACCCAGGCTCTTACCACACAGCATTGAGGAAAAACCGAATTACCTTGCACAAGGTGCGGATTTCTCCCGACAGTGATTGCTTCAGACGGTGGCTTTGCTCTCTCTTGCTCTCCCAGCTGGCTGCAGGAGGTGCTGGGTGGATGCCGGACAGACGGACAGACGCTCTCTCCAGGAGGGACGTTCCCTTTTCTGTGCTCCCAGGGCTGAGATCCTGACGGATTTTGGAGGGACACACAGAACCCATGGCTTGGGCTGCACAGGGCAGTCAGGACTTCCTGCCCGTCCCCACCTCTGCCCCAGCTCCTGGGGCTGGAGGGATCCTCCTGCCACCTTCTACGGATGTCCAACCCCAGGGACTTCAGCTGGGCCTCCCATGCATGTTTAAAAAATAAGGAAAAAAAAAAAATCATCTTTTCTAAACTATTCCCAGGCCAGCATGATTGCATTTGCTGCTGCCTTTGGTGGCAGATTCCAGTAGCGTGCCAAGGGAGGCCCCTCTCAAGAAGCCAGTGGGGGTAGGAGCCTGATAGGAGCCTGATTAGGACTAATTTTGAACATAAACCTGTCCCTCCTCCATACCTTTTTTTGCATATTTCAAACAACCAGACCCATATTAGAAAAAGAGTGTAGGAAAAAAATAATCCTGCGATCCATGCATATCCTCAATGGAACTCAATTCATTCTTTCTGAATCTGGCTCCCATACCCTTTTTCATACAGATTTACATTCCTACAAGAGGATACATTCCTACCATACATTCTGTACATGTTACAATCCAGATGTTGTTAGCTTCACAATAAAATAAATATATTTACAGAAGAAAAAAAAAARRAWWAAWWAWTTWWKRAAAAAAAAATCACTTCAAATCCAAAGCTCTCTTATTCTGCTCCCATCTTGTCACTTCATTGCACGTTAATGTCAACTCCATCCCTGGTGTAGGTCTCAGAGAAATTCCATGCATGGTTGCTGTTGGGACCACGGCACAGGCCCAGCTCGAGACAGTGCAGGGAGAAAGCCACAGCTCTGCCTTCCCACCATGGCTTGCACCAACCTCTTGCTGAGTCCCAAAAGTCATGTTTTTGTCCTGTGGGATTCCTATATGGACTCTGCACAGGAGCACCAAGGAGCCATAGACACAGCCCAGAAGTGGCAAAGTGGATTTAGGGYTCGGCTCCTGCTCTCTGCATACAAAACCTTCAACTGACCCCACGGAACAGCACAGGGGTCCAAAAATGGCACTGARGGGAGCTTTTGCCTAGCAGGTGGGATTTGAGTAATTACAGAGGTAATCCCAAAACCAGGCAGCTCCAGCGCCCTGCAAATCAGTTTTTGCCTACAAAAATCAGGCAAGTGCCTCCCAAGTGAGCCAGGTGCTGTTCCAGGTTCGTGCAGGGTGTGTTCCCAGGTACTCGAGRTGCAGGGTCAGGCAGGGCTGTGGGTTCTGCAAGGGCCCAGGACTGCTGTGGAACAAGGGCTGGGTGGGAGCCGGAGCTGTCCCCCTCCTCCYCACCCTCCCTTCCCCTGGTCCCAAAGCTACACTTGGTCAATGGTTTTCTGTTTGAAGCAATAACTTCCTTTCTCTTCAGTCTGTGTAATGACTGCAAATCCATCAACATCCCAAAGCTTCAGCTTGGGAAAAAGAAAAAAGCAAACGCACCCACCCTGGGCCAGTGTCCCCACTCCTCCCCCAGCCCCGTCTCTCCCTGGCAGATGAACTGGGAGCCAGAAGCGCCTTTTYGCAGCTGAACGTGATGCATTGCATTTCCATCAGGAGTTCCTTCATTGCAAAAATGTATTTGCTCTCATCCTGTGTCCGTGTGCATATCTACGTTACATCTATCTATACACTAATAAATATATATGGCCTGTTTTAAAGTGCCAATTCATAAAAAGCCGCCTCCTTCAAAGGCAGGCAAGACCCAATTTCATCCATGACAAGAAGGGAGCAGAATTGACTGAATATTGCCAAATGACGTAAAACATAATTTAAAATTTCTTAAATAAATATAAAAGTTATTCCTAAAGAAGCCGTAGGCATGTCAACAATATAGGTTGTAACCGGCACTCGACAACTAAAGTACCATTGGAAAACTAAAATGCCATAGCAACTTCAGCAATAGGCATGATACATTGCAAACATTTTTTTTCTTTTTAAATTAAATGTACACCACAATGAACTTAGGAGGAAAAAAAAAAAAAAAAGCTATCGGTGCAGTAAGAAGACTTCTCAGGTGTTACGGGGAAGGGGACCATGCATAGAAAGCTGTGTCTGTATATTGGTTGTAAAACGGGTCTATAAAGTGTAAAGCAGGTAACACAGTCGATACAAGAACCCAACTCTACAGGAGATGCCAAGTGGTGTCACACGACTGGCTCCAGTTTCGACAGCAATGGATATCGAAGAGAGTCCATCCAGTGCAGGTACGAGATGAGCTTCACTGCAGTAATACTGAAGTTGCCTTTTTCAGCACTTAGCACAGTGAGGTGGGAGAGGGGAGGAGAAATGCTCCAAGAAAGGGCGAGCGGGCGCTCCCAGCCCCGCTCCTCCGCCCGCGCCCGTCAGTCAGGGAGATGCCACGGGGCTCTCGGTGGGCTCATTCCCAGGAGCTCCGGGTGAGGAGGCGCCGATCTCCGCCGGGTTAAGGCTCCAATGGATGGGGGCCTGGGGACGGTGCCCAGTCCCGGGGCGGGAGCTGCGGCCACGGCGGCGCTCAGGACCTCGGGGGTCAAGTTCCACAATTGTTTCCTGCCAACTGCTTCACATACGTGTTGGAAAAGGACATGGCTCTAAGTTTAAGTTTCAGGAATCACAGTAGCGCGCAGTGGGTACAGCAGGGAGCAAACACTTGTGAAACTCCGACAGAAGCAGCTCCCAGCCCTTTCTTAAAGCACTTTTTTTTKKTTTTTTTTGTTTGCATTCAGGGAAACCGACTGCAGGCTTATTTGATCCAATTTTCTCTTTGCACCATACACATATAAAACATTACAACTCTGTATAAAAGTACAAGTGGTTCTTGTACATCTGAATTATGCAGGAACTATGTGAGCAAATCCTATCAAAATAGCTATTTTTTTGTGTGTATAAACAGCATTTGTTTTTAGAAAAAACAATATCATAAACTGCAGAATCTGTACAAAAATATAAAATAAATTTGGGCAGCAGTTTCTAAACAGCCATGTAAATGCAACACTTAAAGAGGAGCAGGTTAATGCCTCCAAAAGGCTGAATTGCTAAAGTCAACCTATACAGGGCTAAAATGGTATTGAGATTATCTAAATAATAAAATTTTTTACCTCTTGCAATAAAACTTATAGAAAAAATAGACAAGTATGCACATGCAATTTACAGCTTTCCCCAACATAATCCTTGTGCTTAGCTTTTACCTTTTTTTCCTTTTTTTTTCCTTTTTTTCTTTTTTTTTTTTTTTTTTTTTTGTAATAACGTAACATTGTCTACAATACATATTCTTTCCTATACCAGGATATTCGGTCTTCCTTGAGGAACCACTTTAAAAAAAATACATTAGAAGTGGTCATACATGGATGAAGGCACTCCAACTCTGCTCGAAGCAAAAACTAGTGTGATCCTTTTCTTTTCAAAAAAGGCAAGCAAGGATGCATGCACAGTGCTGTGATTCGGGGCTGGGAAGGACTATGGAAATACTACCAAGTGTATATACTGGTACTTAAAGTTTAAAAAAAAAAAAAAAAAAAAAAAAAAAGAAGAAAGTTGCTATATTTCTAATATTTTAAGACCCAACAAGCACCTCCATGATGTGATCCAGTTCTGTGAGATCCATTTTGAAAGGCTGATTTGGAGTTACTGGTTGACTGCTGTACGGAGCGAGAGTTTTTAGGAGCTCATCTGCTGAGACGGGAGCCATTTTTGAGGCGGCCCCCGTGGCAGACGTGCAGGGGTCAAAATCGTACATGGACGTATCAATGTCAGCGAACAGAATGTCATCCAGGGTCAAGTCTGTGAGGAAACCTGTGGAAGCTGTTATCTCAAAGTTGCCAGGCAGGGGGTCCATGAGTTTGGGTTCAGCCGTTCTGCTCTCCGGGAGGCCCTCGGGCTTGTGAATGTTGGACTCGYTGGGCTGAGCTTTAGAGTCATCGGCCGCCGATTCGGCTGCTACTGCCTCTGCGGAGGTAGGTGCTGGACAAAGCTCCTCGATTTCGTCCAAGGCTGAGGAGAAGCTGTCCTTTACTGCTTGGAGAGCAGGAGGTGGCGGCTTTGTCGGACCTTCGTGCTGGACAGCCGGAGAAGTGCAAAAAGTGTCGTCCTCGAGCAAGGAGGCTGGGGTGAGGCAGGACTCCAGGGGCATAGTGCTTACGAAGTCGGTGGGGAGCAGGGGCGGCGAGGCCAGGTGGCTGAAKGCCGGCTGAGCCTCGCGGAAGCTGTCGCTGAGAGGGTCGGCAGGCTGCGAAGCGGCCACGAACATGGGCCTCAAGCTGCCTTCTTGTTTGAGTTCTTCCTGGATTCGCCTCAACATGTTGTTAATTAAAACTGTCTTTTGCAAGCTTGGCTCGGTTAATGGCCTGTGGTTATAAAGTTTCATAAGGGAAATGTTGAAGATAGTCTGACGCTGTAAGGTGTAAGACACCTTAGAGGGACCGTCGGTGGGAGACACCACTTTGCCTTCCAACCCATCTTCATGCTCGTCAAACTTCCGCTTTCCTCCTTTCCCCAACATATATCTGCAAGGGAAGAGAGGAGACCGTGAAGACAGCAGAGCCAGTGCACATCTGTCCACATCAGTAACTCAGTCCCACCTTGCTTCTATGAGCAAGCAGCAGCCACCTTAATGCAGGGCTCCATCCATGTTTAGAATGTGCTGGCAAATTCTAAACAGAAATTCAAACAGCATTACAATACTCGAGACTTTGCATGCTCATTTGTGGCAAATTTGCTCTTCCTCACATGAAGCAAACACCTGTCCAKAGGTGGACAAGGCACCTATGAACGTTTCCCTGCATTCCCTGACTATGCCTGGGAAACCAAGCGTAAAGCACTGAGGTTCTCACAATGAATTTCCTCTTTTATTCAAAAGTGTGCTCACAGGGGAAGGGAAGCAAGGCTGGAGCAATTGTGTGTTGAGAGAAGCTTTCCCAGCGAGGTTGGGAGATCCAGCCCTTTGGTACACCAGGAAATACACATGTGGGTTTATTTAGCTGATCGCCTAAGGACTGAGCTACCAGAGCAGGAAACGCAGTTATKACACTCAGAATTAGATAAATTGCAGATGAAGAAGAAGAAGATCTGTCAAGTCTTTTGGTCTAATCCCCAAGACCACTCCCTGCACCGCGCTCTGCTGCYGGTCAGATGGCAGATTTTGAAGGAAACAAAGGGGTTTTTACCAAACTTACCCCGTATTATAAATAATTTCTGAGCTAAGATTAAGTAGGGCAGTTCAATCCCYAGTGCCACCTCTTCCTGGATGTTTCAGAGTGCCTGGAAATGCTCCTCTACACAGCACAGTCCCAACCTCATTTTGTCACCATTATTTCTGTGACACGAAGATCCCCYCAAATGCAGAGGAATGAAGGAATCGCTGTGCTGTGACAGTAGCACGATCCAACGTTACACTCTCTCATTTTCCCAGGTAGAGGGGTGAAGTGCTGGAACTCTAACCCACTCACTCTTTTAATAGGATCACAAGCAGCTCCCTGTTCATCCCTGTATCCTTCCCTCTGTTTAACAAATTCTGATATGAAGTATTCTGCCTTGCTTAAAAAAAAAAAAAAAAAAAAACAAAACGTGGAAGAGGCTTCCTAGCCACAGCTATCCAGAAAGAAGTTTCAGGAGCCATACAGATTTTTACCCCGGACCTGACCCCTCTGATATTATGCAGCTATCATCAGGGGGACAAAATTTGCCTTCCTTGTTTGACTCCAATTCCCAGTCGTCCCAGTGGGATTGGTGTCTGAAAAATGACTGCATTAGGTTGGTCTAACACAGTTTGGTGGTCGCACATCAGTTCTGCAGACACACAATGTAGTTAGGACTTTAAAACATCCCCAAGAATGACTGATAAACCTCTAAGAGCAAAGAGCCCCTTGGAAAGCAGAAGAAGGGACAAAAGAAGTCAGACTTTCAGTGCTAGAAAAGCTTCAGGAAGCATTTGCTGGGTGGTAAATCCAAAACCAGAGCGGGTGAAGTGAGCCTCTTCTGGTTAAAAATAAGTCCCAAATCCAGATAATTTTATAGCATATTATGCAATTAAAAAAGCAAGGCGGGGGGAGGGAGCAAGCCGAGCAGCGYTGAGGAGCAGGTAGGCTGCCATCCAAGCTCCTTGGCCAGCTCCCAGCGATTCCCGCGCCTGGAATCTTGGGTGAACAAAACCTCTGAAATTTAGCACTGCTGCCGAAGTCTGGTTTTTCTCTGCTCCCTAGTGTCACTTCCACGGACTGCTCCGGAGGTGTGCACATGGATTTGGGGTGCAAGCGGGGGGCTTTGCTGGTCCAGTGCTCAAAACAGACACATCTCCTTTCACTTCAGACAGACAAGAGCAAGAAACGGAGGATTGGACTTGCAGGAATTAAAAACCCTGCCCAGTTCCAGCACGTTTTTAAAGCAGGAAGAGGTTAGGAGGAGAGTTAGCAGCTTTCTTCCCTTCCTGCTACCTCCTCCCCCTGAAAAAAGACAGACTCTCTCCTAAAGACATACCAGCGCTCCTTCCACAATGCTCTATTTAAAGAAGACATTTTTAAATGGCTTGGGGACTAGACGAGTTTGAAGTTTGTCAGCCTCTGCCAGGAATGTATAAAAACATTCTCTGCACAAAGCAAACCTTTTCCCCCATGATAAAGAAAACAGCCCAGGCTCCCGTTCCCTGTGCTCATTTATTAAATATTGCCAGGTGACGTTGCCAAGCATTTTTTAACAAACCCAATCGAGGCCATTTCCACCCAAGAYTGAGGTGCTGGTAGTGAACACATTTTTAAAGCTGACCAGTAAGAACTATGGGATCATCACTGAGTAAATACTACAATAACCTCACTACGTCATTTTCCAGGAAGCTCAGAAATGATTCAAGATTTCCTGTATGTGTGACTGTCAAGCTTTCGCATCTCACTCGATCTTGATTCAGAGCTTGCCCTTTTTTTAAAAGGTAAAATAGATCAGGCAACTCCCARTCTCACCTTCTAGTTTTTCAGCACAACTTTCAGTTTCTTTTTTCCCCACTAACACACTCTGAAGAGGGTTTAACCCCTAAAGCACCAAAGCAGGATGCCAGCCTAAGCATGAGGTTTTTATTCCACCAAGGAGAGGGGCTCAAATAAAGAACCAGTAGACTCTCAGCTTTATAAAGTTTTATTTTATCCCCTTCTTCTCTGGCATGGAAATGGGAATTGTAAAAAACATTTTCCTCCAGTTTCCATAAATCACTTTATTCATGCTAAGCGAAGCGAGGAGTTGGTATCGTTGTAGACCAACTGACAGAGTTGGTAAAACCCGACATACTTGGGGSCTTGCAAGCCTTTCTCTGGCTTTCCATAAAGGAATTTCATAATTTCTGACCACTGAAGCTTAAGACAATGTTGTCCGCTTGTTCTTTCCAGTTCAAACTATCTCCTCCCTCCTTCAACCAACAGTTTCATGCCTGCATTAAAGAGATCAGTGCTCTATGCCTTAAGATACTGAATAACAATTTAAAAASATCAAGCTGTACAATACCAGCATTTGATCTGAATCACTTCTGTTCATCTCAAAAACTTTGCTCYCAGCCTTTCCAGCCCCAAAGCTCCTGCTGGGAAAATGAAAATGCCAAACTTAAAAGACCAGCTTGACCAAAGAGCAGTACAAAAAGATAAACCATCCCAGGTGTCAAAAGAGAGTTGTCCAACCGAGTCATACAGACAACACCAACCCACCCAAATGTGGCACTGGACAGGCAGAGATAAAGGGTCAMATGCATGGAGGGTCTTTGATGCATCTTTTTTGGCTGAGCAGCAATGTCAGCCAGACGTGTTTTTGCTGCATTTTCATGCGTTTGCTAAACATCATTTTGAGGCCAGGTGTTAAGAGTTGAGACTGGACATAACATTGTTGTTGTCATARTAAAGAGTGTTTCAGGATTTTGGTCAGTTTTACACATTCCTTAGGTSTGTGGAACCAGAAAGCTGAAGAAAGACAATGGAAAAGCTGCATTTGTCTGAGGATTGGGGCGGGGGGAGTTACTTGGAGATCTTCCCCTATATTTTCTACCAGTTGGCTCCAGCTCTGGAAGACCCAGAACCAAAAGCTAAGCCATTGTTGCTGAGAAAGATACAACTTGCTTTTTTTGCCCATTTAGGGCGATTGCACGCGCCTCAGCGCCAGAGAAACCCCAGCATTGTTTGGGAGTTGTCTTTTCTTAATTGAAAAACAAAAGTAGTATATTTTTTTYCCTCATTTGCGTGTCATTTAGATTCCTTTTATTGGCTCTGCATGCTCTTCAGACAGAGCTGAAAAAAAAAATGCAGTTGGGGCTCAGTAGAAAATATAATCAGCCTGGAGCGGATGGTTCTCTGGAGTCAACGCTCATCGATTGAGCACAGAAGAGCTTGTGCAATGCCTGTGTCTCTGAGCCCACTTAGTGACAAACCCTTTGCTCTCCAGAGGACAGAGGGACGTGCACACTGTGAGAGGAGCACTGTGATTATTGATCGTGCTTTGGACACTTGGACACTGCTGGACTATTTCTGATGCCTTTAATAACCGGCACTTTGGCGTAGAAAAGCACCAGATACGTAAAAATGGGGAAGAGTGATTTTGCTCACCCAATAATAAAAATAACCTTTAATGTTAATTCCCTTTCAACAATTAAGCTTAAAATATCTCTCAAGACTGAGGGCTCTTCTTGGAAATCAATTCTACAATCCACTAGGCCCTCCCTGCTCATCAAGACAGACAGGAAGGGRAAAAAAAGGAGGAACTGAACCCCAAGAGGAACAGCGGAAAAGGATTTTTTTTAAGAAGCAACATTTCCACTCACAGATTTATGCCACCCCCTCAGCCAGTCTAGAAGATGCACAGCTTATTAGTGAGGTTACTTTTGGAGCAAACACCACGTTTCTCAAAAGGTAAAAGCATCAAATCCCAGAGTCCATGGGCAATCATTCCTCTCCAYGCAGCCAAACATCGAAGCACAGGTGTGAACCACAGGGGCTTGTGCAAGAAGAGGAGTTTAAAGCAGGACCAGTCTGAAATCTTAGGTAATTAAAACCACAGGGGGAGAAAAAGGAGAGAGAAAGAAAAAGGCAACTTGGGGGAATTCAAATAAAATACTACTTTACACATGTGCATTTTAAAAACCTATCAGAACCCCACAACACAAAGGTCCCCATAAGAGCCTCAYAAAGTGCAATGAGAACATTGAATTTGCACATGTCATCCCCCAAAGTTTCACAAACCTCAAAAGTAAGCAAACCTCTCTGGGGTTTCTTGGAGAACCTATCCAGTGAATTATGCAAGTGCTTTCTGTGTCACTTCTRGCACGTGAAACATAATTTTCCTCTTCTCCATCCTTCACTCCTCATCCTTGAGGGTTTGTATCCTGGCCCAACAGTAGTCAATGGGTGTTTTGTTACTGACTTCAGCAGAATTGGGATTTGGCACAGGATAGCTGCAGGACCAAAATAAAAAGGCCTTTTATGTCAACTGGGTTCAACAGGCAAGACAAGRGCCAGAACCTGTGAGCTGAAGAGGCAGGTTGAGCTGCTGTGRGGTATTTCAGTGCTGCTGGATCCAGCCCGAGGGACCTCCTGAACTCATAACCAGTCTCCACAACTTCAAAGTATCTGTCCCCTAGAGCTAGGGAGGCAAACCAGTAAATCTCCCTCTCACTGTCCCTCTTTCCACATCCCCAAGGCCACAGCAGAGACAGAGTGGACACGTGTGCAGAAGACCTCATGGGCTCGCCCATCACAGAATGATGCTCCCTGGCAAAGCAGAGCAAACCTGCCCCAGCAGGTGGGGGCACAGACATGTGAGAGCATTGGCACCCTCCTTTCATTCAAAGTTACAAAGAAAAAGCAGAGGAGAAAGCCATGATAAACCCAGCAGCCTCGCTCAAAACCAGGAGGAAAGCTCAACAACAGCTCCGGTGTCGAGGTTTAACTTCGGGACTGGAGCAAACATGAACTTGCAGGCGACGGAAATTCCCCCTCCTCGGGGATCGCATCTGCTGACACCGGAGTGTTTAAAGGCTGGCACGGCAGCATCCCCGGGAGCTGGGACAGCCTGTTCCATGCAGAGCTGCACGGCCACGCTCCCTGTGCTGCAGCTGGCCTGCAGGGTGTGCACCGACCAGAAGGGAGGGGGGAGTGCTGCTGCTGGTGATCGTTCTTTTTTTTTTTTT